TCTTCCCTGACTTCAGAGCTGAGTTTGCCAACAACCACATCACACAACCTGGGCTTGAAAGAGAGGCTCCTGTTTCTTTTGAGCCTCCACAGAGATTTTTTCAATATCACAAGATCGCAGATTGTTCTTGGACACTAAAAAAAAGGAAGGTGTAGAAATTGTTGCCTGCTGGAGAAAGACAATGTTAGAGGGACTCTCCATCTCATCATCCCAGGCCCACATGGAACATGATCATCTGCTCTACACCCTTTCAGCGTCCATCTAGCATTGCGGGCAGGATCCACTAGGGGGCTCCTGGGGTAGCCATTTGAAAGACAGGGCAGCATTCATCCGCCCATGGCTTCAGGAGGGAACTGAGAATGAAAGCTTTCACCAGGTCGAGAGAGGCTCATAGCATTTTGCAGAAAAGGCTGAAAGTGCGTCCGCCCTTCCTACAGAATCCAATTCTGGTCTTCCTCATCCACCCACCTCGCTGCGAGCTTTAGGCTGAGCCTTCCCAGGAGTCCAAGAGGCTGCAAGGGAGCTTGCACGGATGGAGATCAAAACCTGACTCCGGAGTTCAGTAAGTGGGGGGACCATGCATGGAGACATGTAAAACTTCATCAGGTTCAGAATCATGGAAATGGGGGAGTTCAGGGTCCCATGTTCACCTGCGCCCCCCCCCCGTGCATGCACGGGCCAGGCAGGGAAGAAATCAAAGTTCCGGACACACTGCATTGTCTCCAGGAAGAAAATCAGGATCTTGTTCAAATAGTCAAAGGCCTTCACTGCATGTAGAAATATTCCTGATTGTTTTCCATTATTATTATTATTTACACTTTATTAGTGGTTATCTGATACCTCTTGCTGTTGCCTCAGTAATTCTATTCTGGTATTGGGCCAACTATCTGGACCGAGCCCTTTTTCTGGCTGTTCTACCTTTTATGTCCCTGCTTGTCTTTGGAAAGCTCCAGTGAGAAGCTTGATTGCTGCATCCAGAATGTTGGTTGTTTCTTGCAAAATCTTGCAGGTTGTGAGCAAATCCCTTTCTTTAGCAGATGAAATTTGTTTTCATACACAGAACTTAGTGAGTCCCTTGAGTCAGAGCTGATCCAGCCACTATCATCAGTTTGTCACAGGTTCTTTTAAAACCATATCCAGTTTGATTGACTTGAGCTCAAAAGATTCATGAAAAGTATGAATTCTAGACAATTTTAAGTTTTCTTTCTTCGGTAAGGGTTGTGGAGATGTTTTATTTTGAAAAAATATTCAAGATACTGTTAGAAGTAAAGTCTTCATCCTGGTTCATCCAAGCCGGGAATAAATAAGCAAATATGGAGACTGCTTTGGGAAGAAGGTTACAGTTTATTGCAGAAAGATGGTTCTTCAGAAAAGAGCAGAGGAGAGAAGGGTTGAGCACATGGGGTAGTAGGTTTTTATACCCCCTCTAGCCTTTTGTTTGAAATAGTTTCCTGTTCCTGTGGCATGAACCTTGAGGCTGTTTCTGAGTGTTTGTCTAGGCCTTGATATCTGTGGTTTAATCCTAGTATCATATCCTGCTTCCCAGGTGATGGGGCTAATGACTCCTAGAGTTTGGGTGGGGTATGCAGATCTTCTCTTTTGTCTTCTTGATTGCTCTGGCTTCAATTTTCTGACTGGTTTTACATCTGCATTTGTATGGGGCTAAAGTCTTGCTTTGGGGCAGAGAGATAGATTTGGGGCCAGGTTTGGTTTTAAAAAGTCCTTTTGAGGAAAAATATATTTTTCTGCCCTTTTTAATATTTTCTTCTCTGGGCTAACTTCCCTCAATACAAAAATAAAAGTATAAATAACATATGTTATTTCTATGTTCTCTTGATATTTAGTATATTTACATTATACAATATTCTCTATAATATACCATTTCAATATTATATACTACAGTCCATCTATGTCAGAGGTGTCAAACTCAATTTCATTGAGGGCCACATCAGCATTGCGGTTGCCCTTGGAGGGGGTGGCCAGGGTGGGTGTGGCCTACTCGGTGGGTGTGGATGGAGTGGGTATGGCCTACTGGGTGGGCATGGCCAGCTCTATATTGTTCACGTCAAGGTTGCCTTGAGGAGGCCTGGGCAGGAGTGGGACAGATCTGAGGGTCTCTGGCAGAAGCGGGTGGGACCGGGGCTAGTGCCAAGGCATGGTCCACTGGAGGAGCCTCACTGCCTGCTGAAACCCCTCTGCCGGAGCCCATCAAGCCGGATATGTGAAGTAGGCAAGGGCCATTTCCTGGCCACTTCCAGGCGATGGTGCATTTCTTCATTCCTCACAAAGGGTGACACCTCCCCAGCATGCACCCAGGGGGCAGGGCCAAAGTAGCAGGGGCTAGTTCCTCGCTGTTTCCAGACAGCCTTGTCGAGCTAAGACTGAATGCATTTCAGGATAGATGGCCACCACAAAATTGTACATTGGCTCCCGGCCGGCTTGGGCCAGGGCCAAGGCAGTGGGGGCTATTCCCTCACTTTCCAGGATGGCTTTGTGGGCCACATGAAACCACTTCGTGGGCCACATCCGGCCCCCGGGCCTTGTGTTTGTCATGTCTGATCTATGCTATACTACATTATATCTATGGCTAGTATAATGTTAACTATTACTATTATAGAATAGAATTCTATATTGGCCAAGTGTGATTGGACACACAAGGAATTTGTCTCCGGGGAATAAGCTCTCAGTGTACATACAAGTGATGTACACTGTAGTAGTATACAGCAATATTTTTACTCTTTCAAACCCTGGTCTGTCTTTAAATCCTCTCTGCGGTTTTCTCTGTTGTTTTTCTTTATTAATGGACAGCAGGTAAAGCGCTAGCACCTTCCCAACATTGATCTTGGCTTATGCGATGTCACGTTTTATGACCGCATCACTTAGTGATGGGAGTTCTGATCTAGATTCCATTCCTTAACCAATGACTTACCTGTGTAAGTGGTCCTCAACTTATGATCTCAACTGAGCACAGAATTTATGTGGCTAAGTAAGACATTTGTTAAGCGAGGTTTGCCCCATTTTATGACTCTTCTTATCACATTTATTAAGTGAATCATTGGAACTGTTAAATTAGTAACATGGTTGTAAAGTGAATCTGGCTTCTTTATTGACTTTGCTTGACAGAAGGTTGCAAAAGGTGATCACATGACCCTGGGACCCTGCAATCGTCATAAATGTGAGTCAATTCTCAAGCAGCCGAATGTATATCATGTCACCATAGGGATGTCGTAAGCTTATAAAATGGTCACAATTCACTTTTTTCAGTACGGTTGTAAATTTGAATGCTGACTAGACATACTGTTGTAAGTCGAGGACTACCTATATTGGAATTCAACATAATTCAAGCAATAGAAAAAGGTCACATATATATCAATGTATCCTGTGTGAAAAGAGTTTCAGAATGATGAATTCCTCTCACAAAAGAAATCAGAATGAGAAGTCATGAAATCCATGTTCAAATATGTTGAAACATCTTGAGGTATTACAGCCATGGTGGCGCAGTGGTTAGAATGCAGTATTGCAGGCTACTTCTGCTGACTGCCAGCAGTTTGATTCTCACAGGCTCAGGGTTGATTCAACTTTCCATTCTTCTGAGGCCAGTAAAATGAAGATCCAAATTATTGGGGGCGATAGGCTGACTCTTTAAACCATTTAGAGTACAATAAAACACTATCAAGTGGGATATAAGTTTATATACCAAATAAATTGGATTTATTTAAAGTTAATTGGATTCTAATTACATTTGAATAAAATTAATTTTGGATTTAAATAAAACTAAATATTACTGGTATGGTTATAAGACTTTTTAAAATTCAAGTGTATTAAAGACTGAGAAAAATTTTCTGAAAAGGACCAAGCTATTGGCGAGAGATGCTAATTGCATTCTTTTTAAATTGCTTCTTAACTCTATTATCCCATTTCTTTATTTCAATAATTTAGATAAATCTCTTTGTTGTTCTTGCACTGTCATGTTCAAATCCACACTAATCTCTTCAAACCATGGGAGTTTTCAGCTCTTTTGGCTAGAAGAAAATTGGTATTTTCTTTAGGACAATTGCCTTACACTGTCTTCAAAATTCCTGCTCATATTTCCTGAGCTTTATTCCCTGTTGAATACTGAAATGAAGCCATTTTGTTTTTTGCCTCATGGCATTTGAGCTTTATATGTACTTCTCAAAGTTTGCCTTCTGGCATTTTGTAATTCCACCTTTTCTCCAGTCACCAATGAGACACCATTCATTTCTCCATCGTGGACCCTTGTTTTGAGGTAAAATTTCTAAAACTTCCACGATTTGAGCTGTCTCTCCATTTTGGAACTTGTTTACTTTTTATGTCTTTTTTTCAAAGAAGACTGTTTCTTTAGGATTATTCTCATTTTTTGTTGCTGCCACTTGCTGTTTTGAACCACAGTTGGCCTCCCAGAGGCCAGAATTTGAAAAGGCAGCTGTAATAATTGAATTCACTAAATTAAAAAATGAATAAAAGTCTTAATTTTCCTAACAGAGATATTGTCAATATTCACAAGATGGCAGATTGTTCTTAGACGTTAAAAAAGGAAAGTGTAGAAAATGTTGCCTGCTGAAAACAGGGAATGTTAGAGGGACCCTTTCCTTATACTCCAATGCCCATCATCCCAGGCCCGCATGGAACGTGACGATCTCCCCTATTCCCTTGCAGCGTCGATCTAGCGTTGCATGCAGGATCCACCAGGGGGCTCCCTGGGCTGCTGTTACAAAGCCCTCACCTGCCTACGCTTCAGGAGAGAAGTGAGCATGCGCTCTTCCTGCAGGTTGAGAGATATTCTCTCTCTCTCTCTCTCTCTCTCTCTCTCTCTCTCTCTCTCTCTCTCTCTCTCTCTCTCTCTCTCTCTCTCTCTCTCCCCCCCCCCCCCGCCTCCTCCTCTCTGCGAGCCTTAGGCTAAGCCTTCCCAGGAGTCCCAGAGGCTGCAAGGGAGGTTTGCACGGACGGAGATCAAGACCTGACTCTGGAGTTCAGTAAGTTGGGGGACGTTTCTTTCACGGGCTGGACCGTGCATGGAGACAACCAAAACTTCATCAGGTTCGGAGTCGTGGGAAGGGGGGAGCCCGGGGTCCCATGTTCCCCTGTCGCTCCTGTGCATGCACGGGCCAGGCAGGGAAGGAATCAAAGCTCGGGATTCGCTGCGTTGCCTCCAGGAAGAACATCAGGATCGCCAGAAAGGTCGGAGCCATTCAGGATTAGGCTAAAAGTGAGGAACCTGTTTCCAGGAGATGTGTGAATGAAAACATCATGTTAAGCTGATCTATTGATTCGGGTATTATTCTGTTTAAATTGAATGTTAGTTTGTTGATTGTCATTTCTCAGGTAGCCATCACAGTTTGGGCCAGGAGTTTAATGAGGTTCTGCTGGCTAAAGTTACACTGAAAGTTCAAATATTGATTGATTTACCTATTAAATCAATTTAGAAAGCCACTCATCTCAATGTCTATTTGTGACCTGAGACATTTATGATCTGGATTGTGCAGAGGTTGGTTTTCACGCTGCAAGCAGCCATCAACATTATTTGAATAAATCAGTAGGAATAAGAAATCAAAAACATATTTTAAATTTATTTATACAAATTGTTTAGTCCTTGAAAGAAGTTGATCTAGAACAGTGGTTCTCAATCGTCGTGTGATGGCAACCCCTGTCACATGGACGTGCCGCGCATGCGCAGCGTGCATGCATGGCGCCGCCCCCTGGCGGGAAAATGGCGGATCGCGTTGTTTTGCGACTCTCGTAAAATGGTCGATCGACCCCAAATGGGGTCGCGACCCATAGGTTGAGAACCGCTGATCTAGAAGGTTACTACAGATTTTTTTCCACACAGAGATACATCACTACCTACAAAGATTTCACCTCTCTTCCCAGATATTGGTGGGTTCATAAGAATTTCTTCTTTCAGTTTTTGTGTGTGCTCAGTTGTTAAGTTGGTCAACTTGTATTTCTGGAATTTTCTTTTGTTTTCCATTTCAGATATGTAAGTTGGAAATCTTTCCTGATTGCTTTTGAGTCTTAAATATCTTGTGTAGGAAGATGGCTAAATGGACTTAGGAAATTTTGATAGACCTCTTCTGATTAGGAAGACCTGTGCAGATCCATCAGTCTGTTTTGGAGCTGGATTAGAGAGCAGAGAGAAGATGGAGGGACAATGCCCAGCTGGAAAAAGCCCTGCAGCTGTTCAGTCTTGGAGCTTTGAGATGAATGGGGCAAGTCCTGGGCAGAAGAACCAAGAAGAGGAAGCCAACAGTTCAGAGGTCCAATGCTGTCACTTCAGAAAAGTGCAGTTCCATGAGGGGAGGGGTCCCCGAGATATTTGCAGTCAGCTTCACCGCCTTTGCTGTCAGTGGCTGCAGCCAGAAAGACACACAAAGGCCCAGATGCTGGACCTGGTACTCCTGGAGCAGTTCCTGGCTTTCCTTCCCCCAGAGATGGAGAAATGGGTGCGGGAGTGTGGAGCAGAGACCAGTTCCCAGGCGGTGGCCCTGGCCGAAGGCTTCTTGCTGAACGTGGGTGTGGAAAACATGCAAGAAGAGTTCCAGGTGTGAGAATATAGTCTTAACAGGTCTAAAGAGGATCTCTCTGAATTTGTCAATTCCTTTCTGTCAGAGTTTTCTGGAATTATTAACTCCTATAGCAAGTTGTTCTATTCTTCCAGAAGATGTATTTGGGGCAATTTTTCCATTCTGTTTCAGGTTTCAACAATGAACATTGTAGTAGTTTGAAGGTGCAGTATGATCATTCATTTCTATCTCTGTGCTCTTCCTTTGTTTCTCCTATCCCATCATCTCCAGAAATCCTTGGAAGCTACGACTGAATATCCCAAGGGGGGGAAAGATTCATCCAAACCCTCTCAAGAGCTGCTGTTTGGGGAGAACTTCCAGAAAGGTCAAAGTCAAGAAATCATGCCAGGTAACAGAAGGTCTTTCTGTGTGATGTGAGATTTCAACATTTAGCTGATTCTTTAGCTGCACATCATTACAATCTCTCTCGTTAACAAATCTGCTTCGCCATTTTTCTCTGTCTCACAGAGAGCAGAAAGCTGTCCATGGAATTTGTAGAGTCACCTCCTCTTTGTGGCGGAGCTGAAGGATTGGCTGAACCTCTACTTCCGGTAAGGAGGAGAAAAATTGGAAAAGTCTATGAATCATGGATGGATTTCAGTGTATAAAATTGTTTCTAAGCAATACAAATTTGACATCAGGCCATTGAACATTCACGCTCAGCTTAGCCTATCCTCTCTCTTCTGGGGGGATCCTTTGTGAGTGCTTTCTCCTCCTGCTTTGACATCAGATTTCATTGACCAGACAATTGTGAGCATTGGGGATTTTCCTTTTTTTTCCTAGGGTCATTCTCACACCATTAAAAAAAAAATTCTTATTTTGCCTTTTGAAAAGCATCTTTGGGATAACTATGACCGGATGATTGAGAATCTCCATAGATCTATATAGTACTAAGTGGATTTAAGACCCAACTACCAATTGACCAAGAAAACTATTTTAGTTGGCTACGCTGAGAGGCATTCCAAATACCTCCAACTAGATCCAATGTACTTCAGTTATATCATCAGCCAAAAGCACTGAGATCTCACTCTGAATTCTGCAGAGGATGCCCATTTTGTTCACTGGATTTCTCTCCTAGAATTAATGGAAGAAAAACCTCAAATTATTCTGGGATTATCTGTTAATAGGGAAAAAAATTTTCTTCTCCAGGATGTTGTGTCTTTTGAGGAAGTGGCTGTGTATTTCTCCAAGGAGGAGTGGTCTCAGCTGGACCCTGCCCAAAAAGCGCTTCACGGAGAAGTCATGCTGGAGAATTCCAGGAATCTGGCTTCTCTGGGTAAGAATCCCTATCTGTGCCCAGAAACATAGAGAAGTCATGGGGTGGGGGGGCTTTGATGATATTTCTGATAAAAACGTCATTTATTGATATTTTGCTTTAATTTTTTGTATATAATAAAGCTAGTTGACAACCCCAATATTCCTTCCTCCTGCTGTTTTCCCCACAAGAAGAACCTTGTGACCTGGGTTGAACTGAGGGAGACTGGCCCAAAGTCACCCAGCCAGCATTCATGCCTAAGGCAGAACTAGTACTCCCAGTCACCCAGTTTCTATCCTGGTGCCTTAACCGTTTGACCAAACTGACTTTATGGAAGAAGCAAATTTATTGGAAGAAAAATTGAAAAACTGCTTAGTCTTCCTTTTTACTTAAAGGATTTTTTTTTTAAAAAAAAAACAACCTTTCTGCTCATAAAATACAAAATATTCATTTCCATGCCATAGAAGATATTAGCTAGAATATGTGGGAGAGGCTGCATGCACGGATGGTGTGGCCTCTCTTGAGCAAGGTCCAGCCTACCAGGGGTTCGGTATCCACTCCTGAGCTTGGTCATTGGCTCCCCGATGGGCGTGAGCTGCTATAAGCAGGACTGGATGAGCCCTGAGAGGGATGTTCCTTTCCTAGAGATGTGCCCACTTGTGTACAGAGTTTAACAGCCTCAGTTGAGGGTGGGGAGCAGAAATTCCCCTTGGCTTTGAAAGATTCTGCTCTGCAGACAAGTGGGGATGAGACTTTCATTGAGGTTTGGGACTGGGTGGATATCTTGCTAACCCAGCATGATACAGTGTCCAATGCACTTAGGGAGTTTGTGGCATCATGGAATAGTCCCAGGTCAAAGATTAGATCAGGAAGAAGAGGTTTGATTGTTCCCCTATTCTTGCTACAGTTTTCATTTTTTCTTTTTCAAGGCTTTAATGGGCAAGAAAATAAGAATTTCAAGGAAGAACGCCAAATGATCCATTCAAAAGAGGGAAAAGAAAAGTTTCCAGATCAGATACAGCCAAAGAGGGATGAAACAAAGAAATCACAAAGTGGAATGAAAAAATGCCTTCCGAGGGTCAGTTGGCTTCATAACCGTACAAGCATTGATATGGGAGAAGAACCGTATAAATGCATGGAATTTGGAAAGAGCTTTAATGAATGTGATCGTCTTATTTCCCATAAAAAGACACATTTAGAGAAGACACCGTATAACTCCAGGGAGTGTGGAAAGACCTTCTGTAATAATCGCTCTCTTAGAAGTCATGAAGGAAATCACAGACCTTATACATGCATGGAGTGTGGAAAGACCTTTACTTGTAGCAGTAGTCTCATTTACCATAAAAGGAGCCACACTGGAGAGAAGCCATATCAATGCCTAGAATGTGGAAAGACCTTTACTTGTAGCAGTAGTCTCATTTACCATAAGAGGAGCCACACTGGAGAAAAGCCATATCAATGCCTGGAATGTGGAAAGACCTTTACTGGTCACAGTGGTCTCAATTACCATAAAAGGATCCACAGTAGAGAGAAGCCATATCAATGCCTAGAATGTGAAAAGACCTTTATTGATAGCAGTAGTCTCAATTACCATAAGAGGCTCCACACTGGAGAGAAGCCACATCAGTGCCTGGAATGTGGAAAGACTTTTACTTCTAGCAGTAGTCTCAATTACCATAAGAGGATCCATACTGGAGAGAAGCCATATCAATGTATGGAATGTGGAAAGACCTTTACTTGTAGCAGTGGTCTCAATTACCATAAGAGGATCCACACTGGAGAGAAGCCATATCAGTGCCTGAAATGTGGAAAGACCTTTATTTGTAGTAGTAATCTCAATTCCCATGAGAGGATCCACACTGGAGAGAAGCCATATCAATGCATGGAATGTGGAAAGACCTTTACTTGTAGCACTAGCCTCAATTCCCATAAGAGGGTCCACACAGGAGAGAAGCCATATCATTGTATGGAGTGTGGAAAGACCTTTACTTATAACAGTAGTCTTAATTCCCACAAGACGGTCCACATAGGTGAGATGCCATATAAATGTGTGGAATGTGGAAAGGGTTTTAGGTGGAATTGTGATTTTATCTCCCACAAAAGAATACACACAGGGGAGAAGGCATATCAATGCATGGAGTGCGGGAAGAGCTTTGCCAGGAATTCCACTCTTTCTTGGCATAGAAGGATCCATACACGGGAGAAACCATATCAATAAAAGAAGTGTGAGAAGAGCTTTGAAAGAAAAAATTAAAAACTGCACAGGTTTCCTTTTTCGTATAGAAAATGGATTTCTTTCACAATGCTTTCTGCTGATAAAATACAAAATACTCATTTCCATGCCACAGAAGATATTAACAGGAATCTGAGGGGAGGGTTGCATACAGGAATGGTACGGCCTCTTATGGCAGCCTCTCGGTAAAATGTTCTCTGATAGCTTTTTGTTTTTTTATTATTCTTTGTGATTCGCTTTGCGTTTCATGTTCAAGAGACTGTTAAGCATCAAGCAATGTTTTTTTAATGGGCAACTTTCTGTGACTATACTCCCCCCCCAAACTTTATAAATGCAGAGGAGATTGTCATCAAGGAAGTGGCAGCTCTCCCTCAACAATGGAAAAACAAAAACCAAAGGAGGAGACAACGGGCGAAGAAGGGGTAAGCGAGCAGGGATTTTGAATGGACTAAGGAAAAATGGAACAAAAAGCTCTTCCTTCACTCTTTTGCTAATAAGTTGGATGAAATACTTCTTTTAAACAGATGCAACTCTGATTTTTACAAACCAGGCGCCTTCTGCTTCACTGAAATCTGGCTAAATGAGTCAATTGATGATAGCAGTTGGCATTTCCCAGGATTTCAGATACAGAGGGCAGACAGAATTACAGAAACCTCCAGTAAAAAGAAAGGAAGGGCGTCTCTGCTTCTATACCAACAACTGATGGTGTAAAAATGTAACCACACTATAGAAATTCTGTGATGTGGACTTAGAGAGATTAATTATCAATTGTAAACCATTTTATTCTCCACGAGAGTTTTCTTCATTCTATTTCCAATGTATTGTTGGAGGAAAGGTCTTCATCATGGTTCATCCAAGTTGGGAATAAACATGGCAACTGCTTTGGGAAGAAAGTTGTAGTTTATTGGAGAGGAGAGCCAGACAGGAAAATGGTTCTGGCAGCGAGAGAAGTGAAAAAAAAAAAGGGCTTAGCACATGTAGGGAATAGGCTTTTATTCTTTCTGGAGCCTTTTGTTTGGAGTTATTTCCTGTTTCTGTTTTGAGGCTCTTTCCTGTGTCATGTATTCTGATGTGAGTTTGGATGTGCCCTTTGGCCTTTGTGAGTTAATCCTACCATGTCCTGTCTCAGGTGGGGTATGCAGATTTTAGGTCTTTGTCTTCCTAATCTCCTAGCTCCAACTTTCCTGATGGTTTACATCTGCATTTGTTCAGAGCTGGTTTCCGCTTGGGGGAATCAGACTTGGGGCTATTAAGAAAAACTGGGCATGCTTTCTTTCTCTTTAAGTTCCTTTGAGAAACTATATTTTTCTGCCCTTTTAATATTTCCTTCTCTGGGGGGTTGACTTCCCACTGTATATTCCTCCAAAACCTGAATAAACAATGCATTACAAACTCTAGCTGACTTGATTATGTGGGCTGAAGACAGATAATGCAGATTAGCTCCTTATTGTGTTAGATTTCAACAGTGCTTAACTTAAGCCAAGACCTACCAAGATACTTTCAGCATGTCAATTGTCTTACTAGAGGCAAGAATACTTAGTCTAAAATTTAGGACTTGGGGAGAATCAAGAAGGAAATCACCTCCAGGAAATCCCAGAGCGAGCTTGGTGTCCTTCTCTTCCTGGACTTCCCAGAAATGAGCGCCTGTCCTGCCACAGTGGCCAAAAATGTTTGCCCGTTTCAGGAGTGGCTCGGTATATGAATAACAACAGAATCCAGCTATTTTGCCTTGATAAGCTTTTAATGCATTTATTCAGCTGCAGCCAAGAAGACTTCACACACAGATCTGTAGGACACAGATAAACCTCCAAGTGACCTCAATGGCTCTCTAAAAGAATTCAAATGACCAGCTGTCTGCAAGGAATATAAATACTTCCATTCCATACCATCCAGTCAGAGCTGAAGAAGCTTCTTGGATGAGAAGCGAAACATCTTCAAAGAAAAACAGTCCAATTACTTCCTAAAAAAGCACCTTTGGGACATCCATGATCTGGAGTATTATTACTACTACTACTACTACATACAGTAGCATACAACATTTTTACTCTTTCAAACCCTGGTCTGTCTTTAAATCCTCTCTGCGTTTTTCTCTGTTGTTTTTCTTAATTAATGGACAGCAAGTAAAGCGCTGGCAGTTTCCCAACATTGATCTTGGCTTATGCGATGTCACGTTTTACGACTGCCTCACTTAGTGATGGGAGTTCTGATCCACATTCCATTCCTTATCCTGTGTGAAAAGAGTTTCAGGACGATGAATTCCTCTCACAAAAGAAATCAAAATGAGAAGTCATGAAATCCATGTTCAAATATGTTGAAACATCTTGAGGTATTACAGGCATGGTGGCGCAGTGGTTAGAATACAGTATTGCAGGCTACTTCTACTGACTGCCAGCAGTTTGATTCTCACAGGCGCAAGGCTGATTCAACTTTCCATTCTTCTGAGGCCAGTAAAATGAAGATCCAAATTATTGGGGGCGATAGGCTGACTCTTTAAACCATTTAGAGTACAATAAAACACTATCAAGTGGGATATAAGTTTATATATCAAATAAATTGGATTTATTTAAAGTTAATTGGATTCTAATTATATTTGAGTAAAATTAATTTTGGATTTAAATAAAATTAAATATTACTGGTATGGTTATTCATAAGACTTTTTAAAATTCAAGTGTATTAAAGACAGAGAAAAATTTGCTGTAAAGGACCAGGTTATTGGCAAGAGAGAGATGCTATTTGCATTCTTTTAAATTGTTTCTTAACTCTATTTTTCTTTCTTTCATTAATTTAGATAAATCTCTTTGTTGTTCTTGCACTGTCACCTCGAAAATCCAGACTAATCTCTTCAAACCATGGGAGTTTTCAGCTCTTTTGGCTAGAAGAAAATTGGTATTTTCTTTAGTGCAGTTGCCTTACATTGTCTTCAAAATTCCTGCTCATATTTCCTGAGCTGTATTCCCTGTTGAATACTGAAATGAAGCCATTTTCCTTTTTCCCCTCATGGAATTTGAACTTTATAGGTACTCCACAAGGTTTGCCTTCCGGCATTTTGTAATCCCACCTTTTCTCCAGTCACCTATGAGACACCATTCATTTCTCCATCATGGATGCTTGTTTTGAGGTAAAATTTGTAAAACTTCCATGATTTGAGCTTTCTCTCCATTTTGGAACTTGTTTACTTTTGATGCCGTTTGTTCAGGATTATTCTCATTTTTGGTGCTGCCACTTGCTGTTTTGAACCACAGTTGGCCGCCCAGAGGCAAGAATTTGAAAAGGCAGCTGTACTAATTGAACTCACCAAATAAAAAAATGAATAAAAGTCTTAATTTTCCTACCCCTTCACTTCCTATTTTGTGACTCTGCCACTCCCCTTTATCTTCCCTCACTTCAGGACTGAGTTTGCCAACAACCACATCACAAAACCTGGGCTTCAAAGAGAGGCTCCTGTTTCTTTTGGGCCGCCACAGAGATTTTGTCAATATTCACAACATGGCAGATTGTTCATAGACATTAAAAAAGGAAAGTTTAGAAAATGTTGCCTGCTGAAGACAGGGAATGTTAGAGGGACCCTTTCCTTCTATTCCAATGCCCATCATCCCACCAGGGGGCGCCCTCGGTTACCGTTACAAAGCCTCCACTTCAGGAGAGAACTGAGCATGCGCTCTTCCATCAGGTCGCGAGAGATGATCGGTGCATTGTCCAGAAGAGACTGAAAGGGCTTCTCCGGAGTTCAGTAAGTGGGGGGGACGTTTCTTTCACCGCCTGGACCGTGCATGGAGACAACCAAAACTTCATCAGGTTCGGAGTCGTGGGAAGGGGGGAGCCCGAGGTCCCATGTTCCCCTGCCGCCCCTGTGCATGCACGGGCCAGGCAGGGAAGGAATCAAAGCTCCGGACGCGCTGCGTTGCCTCCAGGAAGAACATCAGGATCGCCAGAAAGGTCGGAGCCATTCTAGATTAAGGCTAAAAGTGGGGAACCTGTTTCCAGGAGATGCGTGAATGAAAACATCATGTTAAGCTGGTTTATTGATTCGGGTATTATTCTGTTTGCATTGAATGGTGGTTTGTTGATTGTGATTTCTCAGGTAGCCATAACAGTTTGGGCCAGGAGTTTATTTAATGAGGTTCTGCTGGCTAAAGTTATACAGGAAGTTCAAATATTCATTGATTTTCCTATTAAATCTCAATGGCTATTTGTGACCTGAGACATTTATGATCTGGATTGTACAGAGGTTGGTTTTCATGCTGCAAGCAGCCATCAAAATTATTTGAATAAATGAGTAGGAATAAGAAATCAAAAACATTTTAAATTTATGTATCCAAATTGTTTAGTCCTTCAAGAAGTTGATCTACAAGGTTACTACAGATTTTTTTCCACACAGAGATATATCACTACTTACAAAGATTTCCCCCATCTTCCCAGATATTGCTGGGTTGATAAGAATTTCTTATTTCAGTTTTTGTGTGTGTGCTCAGTTGTTAAGTTGGTCAACCTGTATTTCTGGAATTTTCTTTTCCATTTCAGATATATAAGTTGGAAATCTTTCCTGATTGCTTTTGAGTCTTAAATATCTTGTGTAGTAAGAAGGCTAATCCTAATTGACTTTAGCAGATTTTGACAGACCTCTTCTGATTAGGAAGACCTGTGCAGATCCATCAGTCTGTTTCGGAGCTGGATTAGAGACCAGAGAGAAGATGGAGGGACAACGCCCAGCTGGAAAAAGCTCTGCAGCTGTTCAGTCTTGGAGCTTTGAGATGAATGGGCAGAAGAGTCAAGAAGAGAAAGCCAAGAGTTCAGAGGTCCAATGCTGTCACTTCAGAAAAGTGCAGTTCCAGGAGGGGAGGGGTCCCCGAGAAGTTTGCAGTCAGCTTCACCGCCTTTGCTGTCAGTGGCTGCAGCCAGAAAGACACACAAAGGCTCAGATGCTGGACCTGGTGCTCCTGGAGCAGTTCCTGGCTTTCCTTCCCCCAGAGATGGAGAAATGGGTGCGGGAGTGTGGAGCGGAAACCAGTTCCCAGGCAGTGGCCCTGGCCGAAGGCTTCTTGCTGAACGTGGGTGTGGAAAAGATGCAACAAGAGTTCCAGGTGGGAGAATATAGTCTTAACAGATCTAAAGAGAATCTCTCTGAATTTGTTAATTCCTTTCTGTCAGAGTTTTCTAGAATTATTAACTCCTAAAGTGAGTTCTATTCTTCCAGAGGATATATTTGGGCGAATTCTTCCATTCTGTTTCGGGTTTCAACAATGGACATTGTAGTAGTTTGAAGGTGCAGTATGATAATTCATTTCTATCTCTGTGCTCTTCCTTTGTTTCTCCTATCACATCATGTCTAGAAATCCTTGGAAGTTATGACTGAGTATCCCAAGGGGGGAGAAGATTCATCCAAACCCTCTGAAGAGCTGCTGTTCGGGGAGAACTTCCAGAAAGGTCAAAGTCAGGACATCACGCCAGGTAACAGAAGGTCTTTCTGTGTGATGTGAAATTTCAACATTTAGCTGATTTCTTTGGCTGCACATCATTACAATCTCTCTCTTTAACAAATCTGCTTCACCATTTTTCTCTGTCTCACAGAGAGCAGAAAGCTGTCCATGGAATTTGTAGACTCACCTCCTCTTTGTGGTGGAGCTGTAGGATTGGCTGAAACTCTACTTCAAGTAAGGAGGAGACACGTCAGAAAAGGTCCATGAATCTTGGATGGATTTCATTTTGTTCTAGCGTTCAATGTATAAAATTGCTGTTTCTAAGCAATATAAATTTGAGATCCAGTCACTGAAAATTCACGCTCAGCTTAGCCTATCCTCTCTCTTCTGGGGGGATCCTTTGTGAGATGCTTTCTTTTCCTGCTTTGACATCAGATTTCATTGACCAGACAGTTGTGAGCATTGGGGCTGTTCCTTCTGTCTCCCAGGGTCATAATCACACACCATTACAAAAAAAAATCCTTATTTTGCCTTTTGAAAAGCATCTTTGGGACAACTGTGGGGATTGAGAATCTCCATAGATACTAAGTGGATTTTAGACCCAACTACCAATGACCAAGAAAACTATTTTAGTTGGCTATGCTGAAAGGCATTCCAAATACCTCCACCTGGATCCAATCTGCTTCAGTTATGTCATCAGCCAAAAGCGGTGAGATCTCACTCTGAATTCTGCAGAGGATGCTCATTTTGTTCACTGGATCTCTTTCCTAGAATTAATGGAAGAAAAACCTCAAATTATTCTGGGATTATCTGTTAATAGGGAAATTTCTTTTCCTCTTCAGGGTGTTGTGTCTTTTGAGGAAGTGGCTGTGTATTTCTCCAAGGAGGAGTGGTCTCAGCTGGACCCTGCCCAAAAAGCGCTTCACGGAGAAGTCATGCTGGAGAATTCCAGGAATCTGGCTTCTCTGGGTAAGAATCCCTGTCTGTGCTCAGAAACATAGAAAAGTCATGGGGTGGGGTGGGGGGCTTAGATGATATTTCTGATAAAAAACATCATTTATTGATACTCTGCCCTTATTTTTTGTATATAATAAAGCTAGTGGACAACCCCAATATTCCTTCCTCCTGCTGTTTTCCCCACAAGAACCTTGTGACCTGGGTTGAGCTGAGGGAGACTGGCCCAAAGTCACCCAGCCAACATTCATGCCTAAGGCAGAACTAGTACTCCCAGTCACCCAGTTTCTAGACTGGTGCCTTAACCGTTTGATCAAACTGACTTTATGGAAGAAGGAAATTTATTGGAAGAAAAAGTGAAAAACTGCCTTGCCTTCCTTTTTACATAAAGGAAATGTGGTGTTTTTTCTATTTTAAAAAATGCTTTCTGCTCATAAAATACAAAATATTCATTTCCATGCCATAAAAAATATTAGCCAGAATCTGAGGGACAGGCTGCATGCAGGGATGGTGTGGCCTCTCTTGAGCAAAGGTCCAGCCTACCAGGGGTTCAGTATCCACTCCTGACCCTAGTCACTGGCTCCCCGATGGGCGTGAGCTGCTATAAGCAGGACTGGAGGAGCCCTGAGAGGGATGTTCCCTTCCTAGAGATGTGCCCACTTGTGTACAGAGTTTACCATTAGCCTCAGTTGAGGGTGGGGAGCAGAAATTCCCCTTGGCTTTGAAAGATTCTGCTCTGCAGACAAGTGGGGATGAGACTTTCATTGAGGTTTGGGACTGGGTGGATATCTTGCTAACCCAGCATGATACAGTGTCCAATGCACTTAGGGAGTTTGTGGCATCATGGAATAGCCCCAGGTCAAAGATTAGATCAGGAAGAAGAGGTTTGATTGTTCCCCTATTCTTGCTACAGTTTTCATTTTTTCTTTTCAAGGCTTTAATGGGCAAGAAAATAAGAATTGCAAGGAAGAATGCCAAATGATCCATTCCAAAGAGGGAAAAGAAAAGTTTCCAGATCAGATACAGCCAAAAAGTGATGAAACGAAGCAATCACAAGGTGGAATGAAAAAAGGCTTTCCGTGGGTCAGTTGGCTTCATAACCATACAAGCATTGATATGAGAAAAGAACCATATAAATGCATGGAGTGTGGAAAGACCTTTACTCGGAGCAATAATCTTAATTCCCACAAGAGGATCCACACAGGAGTGAAGCCATATCAGTGCCTGGAATGTGGAAAGAGCTTTATCTATAGCAGTCGTCTCAATTCCCATAAGAGGATCCACACAGGAGAGAAGCCATATCAATGCATAGAATGTGGAAAGACCTTTACTTGTAGCAGTCGTCTCAATTCCCATAAGAGGATCCACACTAGAGAGAAGCCATATCAATGCCTGGAATGTGGAAAGTCCTTCTCTTGTAATTACTTTCTTACAATACATCATAGGAATCACAAAGGAAAAAGACCTTATAAATGCATGGAGTGCGGAAAGACCTTTACTCGTAGCAGTAATCTTAATTCCCACAAGAGGATCCACACAGGAGAGAAGCCATATGAATGCCTGGAATGTGGAAAGACCTTTACCTATAGTGGTAATCTTAATTCCCACAAGACGGTCCACACAGGAGAGAAGCCATATCAGTGCCTGGAATGTGGAAAGACTTTTACTTGTAGCAGTAGTCTCAATTACCATAAGAAAATCCACACTGGAGAGAAGCCATATCAATGTATGGAATGTGGAAAGACCTTTACTTGTAGTGGTACTCTCAATACTCATAAGAGGATTCACACTGGAGAGAAGCCATATCCATGCATGGAATGTGGAAAGACCTTTACTTGTAGCAGTAACCTCAATTCCCATATGAGGGTCCACACTGGAGAGAAGCCATATCAATGCATTGAATGTGGAAAGAGCTTTACTTGTAGCAGTAGTCTTAATTCCCACAAGGCGGTCCACATAGGAGATATGCCATATAAATGTGTGGAATGTGGAAAGGGTTTTAGGTGGAATTGTGATTTTATCTCCCACAAGAGAAGCCACACAGGGGAGAAGCCATATCAATGCATGGAGTGTGGGAAGAGCTTTGCCTGGAGTTCCACTCTTTCTTGGCATAGAAGGATCCATACACGGGAGAAAACATATCAATAAAGGAAGTGTGAGAAGAGCTTTGAAATAAAAAATTAAAAACTGCACAGGTTTCCTTTTTTTGTATAGAAAATGAATTTCTTTCATAATACTTTCTGCTGATAAAATACATTTCCATGCCACAGAAGATATTAACAGGAATTTGAGGGGAGGGTTGCATACAGGAATGGTATGGCGTCTCTTCTTCCCCTCAAGAATGGGCCTCTTGTGGCAGCCTTGGTAAAATGTTCTCTGATAGCTTTTTCGTTTTTTATTATTATCTGTGATTCGCTTTGCGTTTCATGTTCAAGAAACTAACTGTTAAGCATCAAGCAGTGTTTTTTTAATGGGCAACTTTCTGTGACTATACCTCCCCCCCATCTTTATAAATGCAGAGGAGATTGCCATCAAGGAAGTGGCAGCTCTCCCTAAACAATTGAAAAAAACAAAACCAAAGGAGGAAACAACTGGTGAAGAAGGGGTAAGCGAGCAGGGATTTTGAATAGACTAAGGAAAAATGGAATAAAAACCTCTTCCTTCACTCTTTTGCTGATAAGATGGATGAAGTACATCTTTTAAAGAGATGCAACTCTAATTTTTACAGTAAAGCCCTCTGCTTTACTAAAACCTGGCTAAATGAGACAATTGATGATAGCAGCTGGCATTTCCCAGGATTTCAGATACAGAACCCTATTGACATAGCTTGACAGAAGGTCGCAAAAGGTGATCACATGACCCTGGGACCCTGCAACTGTCATAAATGTGAGTCAATTCTCAAGCAGCCGAATGTATATCATGTCACCATAGGGATGTCGTAAGCTTGAAAAATGGTCACAATTCACTTTTTTCAATGCGGTTGTAAATTTGAATGCTGACTAGACTTACTGTTGTAAGTCGAGGACTACCTATATTGGAATTCAACATAATTCAAGCACAAGCAATAGAAGAAAGTCACATATATATCAATGTATCCTGTGTGAAAAGTGTTTCAGGACGATGAATTTCTCTCACAAAAGAAACCAGAATGAGAAGCTGTGAAATCCATCTTCAAATATGTTGAAATATCTTGAGGTATTACAAACATGTGGTGCAGTGGTTAGAATGCAGTATTGCAGGCTACTTCTGCTGACTGCCAGCAGTTTGATTCTCACAGGATCAAGGTTGATTCAACTTTCCATTCTTCTGAGGCCAGTAAAATGAGGACCCAAATTGTGGGGGGTAATAGGCTGACTCTTTAAAGCATTTAGAGTACAGTAAAGCAGTATGAAGCGGTATATAAGTTTATATACCAAATAAATTGGATTTATTTAAAGTTAATTGGATTCTAATTACATTTGAATAAAATTAATTTATTCATAAGACTTTTTAAAATTCAAGAGTATTAAAGACTGAGAAAAATTTTCTGAAAAGGACCAAGCTATTGGCGAGAGATGCTAATTGCATTCTTTTTAAATTGCTTCTTAACTCTATTTCCCCATTTTTTAATTTCATTAATTTAGATAAATCTCTTTGTTGTTCTTGCACTGTCACCTCCAAATCCACACTAATCTCTTCAAACCATGGGAGTTTTCAGCTCTTTTGGCTAGAAGAAAATTAGTATTTTCTTTAGGGTAGTTGCCTTACTTTGTCTTCAAAATTCCTGCTCATTTCCTGAGCTGTATTCCCTATTGAATACTGAATACTTTTTTCTTTTTCCCCTCATGGCATTTGAACTTTATATGTACTCCTCAAGGTTTGCCTTCCGGCATTTTGTAATCCCACCTTTTCTCCAGTCACCTATGAGACACCATTCCTTTCTCCATCGTGGACCCTTGTTTTGAGGTAAAATTTCTAAAACTTCCATGATTTGAGCTCTCTTTCCATTTTGAAACTTGTTTACATTTGATGCCGTTTCTTCAGCATTATTCTCATTTTTGCTGCTGCCACTTGCTGTTTTGAACCACAGTTGGCTGCCCAGAGGTAAGAATTTGAAAAGGCAGCTGTAATTATTGAACTCACCAAATAAAAAATCAATACACATCTTAGTTTTCCGACCCCCTCACTTCCTATTTTGCGACTCTGCCAACCCCTTTATCTTTCCTCACTTCAGGACTGAGTTTGCCAACAATCACATGATACAACCTGGGCTTCAAAGAGGCTCCTGTTTCTTTTGGGCCGCCACAGAGATTTTCTCAATATTCACAAGATAGCAAATTGTTCATAGACATTAAAAAAGGAAAGTCTAAAAAATGTTGCCTGCTGGAGACAGGGAATGTTAGAGGGACCCTTTCCTTCTACTCCAATGCCCATCATTCCAGGCCCGCATGGAACATAGTCTCCCCCTATTCCCTTGCAGCGTCTATCTAGCGTTGCATCCAGGATCCACCAGGGGGCTCCATGGGCTGCCGTTACAAAGCGCTCACCTTACCCCGCTTGAGGAGAGAACTGAGCATGCGCTCTTCCAGCAGATCGAGAGACATGCTCAGTGCATTTTCCAGAAGAGGCTGATAGTGCTTCCGCCCTTCGTACAGGTGCAATTCTGCGCTCTCGCTCTCTCTCTCTCTCTCTCTCTCTCTCTCTCTCCCCCCCCCCCCGTCTCCTTCCCGCTGCGAGCCTTAGGCTGAGCCTTCCGAGGAGTCCCAGAGGCTGCAAGGGAGCTTTGCACGACCTGACTCCGAAGTTCGGTAAGTGGGGGGACGCTTCTTTCCCGGGCTGGACCGTGCACGGAGAAACCAAACCGTGGGAAGGGGGGAGCCCGGGGTCCCATGTTCCCCTGCCGCCCCTGTGCATGCATGGGCCAGGCAGGGAAGGAATCAAACCTCCGGACGCGCTGCGTTGCCTCCAGGAAGAACATCAGGATCGCCAGAAAGGTCGGAGCCATTCAGGATTAGACTAAAAGTGGGGAACCGGTTTCCAGATGTCTGAATGAAAACATCATGTTAAGCTGGTTTATTGATTCGGGTATTATTCTGTTTGCCTTGAATGGTGATTTCTCAGGTAGCCATAGCAGTTTGGGCCAGGACTTTAATGAGGTTCTGCTGGCTAAAGTTACACTGGAAGTTCAAATATTGATTGATTTACCTATTAAATCGATTCAGAAAGCCACTCATCTCCATGGCTATTTGTGACCTGGGACATTTATGATCTGGATTGTACAGAGGTTGGTTTTCATGCTGCAAGCAGCCATCAAAATTATTGAATAAATGAGTAGGAATGAGAAATAAAAAACATATTTTAAATGTATGCATCCAAATTGTTTAGTCTTTGAAAGAAGTTGATCTAGAAGGTTACTACAGATTTTTTTCCACACAGAGGTACATCACTACCTACAAAGATTTCACCTCTCTTCCCAGATATTGGTGGGTTCATAAGAATTTCTTCTTTCAGTTTTTGTGTGTGCTCAGTTGTTAAGTTGGTCAACCTGTATTTCTGGAATTTTCTTTTGTTTTCCATTTCAGATATATAAGTTGGAAATCTTTCCTGATTGTTCTTGAGTCTTAAATATCTTGTGTAGGAAGAGGGCTAAATGGACTTAGGAAATTTTGAGAGACCTCTTCTGATTAGGAAGACCTGTGCACATCCATCAGTCTGTTTTGGAGCTGGATTAGAGAGCAGAGAGAAGATGGAGGGACAACGCCCAGTTGGAAAAAGCCCTGCAGCTGGTCAGTCTTGGAGCATTGAGATGAATGGGGCAAGTCCTGGGCAGAAGAGTCAAGAAGAGGAAGCCAACAGTTCAGAGGTCCAATGCTGTCACTTCAGAAAAGTGCAGTTCCAGGAGGGGAGGGGTCCCCGAGAAGTTTGCAGTCAGCTTCACCGCCTTTGCTGTCAGTGGCTGCAGCCAGAAAGACACACAAAGGCCCAGATGCTGGACCTGGTGCTCCTGGAGCAGTTCCTGGCTTTCCTTCCCCCAGAGATGGAGAAATGGGTGCGGGAGTGTGGAGCGGAAACCAGTTCCCAGGCAGTGGCCCTGGCCGAAGGCTTCTTGCTGAACGTGGATGTGGAAAAGATGCAAGAAGAGTTCCAGGTGTGAGAATATAGTCTTAACAGGTCTAAAGAGGATCTCTCTGAATTTGTTAATTCCTTTCTGTCAGAGTTTTCTGGAATTATTAACTCCTAAAGTGAGTTGTTCCAGAGGATGTATTTGGGGCAATTCTTCCATTCTGTTTTGGGTTCCAACAAAGGATATTGGGGTTGCTAGTTTGAAGGTGCAGTATGATCATTCATTTCTATCTCTGTGCTCTTCTTTTGTTTCTCCTATCACATCATGTCCAGAAATCCTTGGAAGCTACGACTGAGTATCCCAAGGGGGGGAAAGATTCATCCAAACCCTCTCAAGAGCTGCTGTTCGGGGAGAACTTCCAGAAAAGTCAAAGTCAGGACATCACGCCAGGTAACAGAAGGTCTTTCTGTGTGATGTGAGATTTCAACATTTAGCTGATTCTTTAGCTGCACTAATTACAATCTCTCTCTTTAACAAATCTGCTTCTCCCATTTTTCTCTGTCTCACAGAGAATAGAAAGCTGTCCGTGGAATTTGTAGAGTCACCTCCTCTTTGTGGTGGAGCTGAAAGATTGGCTGAACCTCTACTTCAGGTCAGGAGGAGAAACATCAGAAAAGGTCCATGAATCATGGATGGATTTCATTTTGTTCTAGCGTTCAATGTATAAAATTGCTGTTTCTAAGCAATATAAATTTGAGATCCGGTCACTGAACATTCACGCTCAGCTTAGCCTACCCTCCCTTTTCTGAGGGGATCCTTTGTGAGATGCTTTCTCCTCCTGCTTTGACATCAGATTTCATTGACCAGACAGTTGTGAGCATTGGGGCTGTTCCTTCTGTCTCCCAGGGTCATTCTCACACCCCATTACAAAAAAAATCCTTATTTTGCCTTTTGAAAAGCATCGTTGGTGATTGGGAATCTCCATAGATATATATAGTACTAAGTGGATTTAAGACCCAACTACCAATTGACCAAAAAAACTATTTTAGTTGGCTATGCTGAAAGGCATTCCAAATACCTCCACCTGGATCCAATGTGCTTCAGTTATGTCATCAGCCAAAAGCGGTGAGATCTCACTCTGAATTCTGCAGAGGATGCCCATTTTGTTCACTGGATCTCATACCTAAAATTAATGGAAGAAAACCCTCAAATTATTCTTGGGATTATCTGCTAATAGGGAAATTTCTTTTCTTCTTCAGGATGTTGTGTCTTTTGAGGAAGTGGCTGTGTATTTCTCCAAGGAGGAGTGGTCTCAACTAGACCCTACCCAAAAAGCGCTTCACGGAGACGTCATGCTGGAGAATTCCAGGAATCTGGCTTCTCTGGGTAAGAATCCCTGTCTGTGCTCAGAAACAGAGAAGTCATGGGATGGGGAGTTAGATGATATTTCTGATAAAAACTTCATTTATTGATACTCTGCCCTTATTTTTTGTAAAGAATAAAGCTAGTGGACAACCCCAATATTCCTTCCTCCTGCTGTTTTCCCCACAAGAACCTTGTGACCTGGGTTGAGCTGAGGGAGACTGGCCCAAAGTCACCCAGCCAGCATTCATGCCTAAGGCAGAACTAGTACTCCCAGTCACCCAGTTTCTAGTCTGGTGCCTTAACCGTTTGACCAAACTGACTTTATGGGAGAAGGAAATTTATTGGAAGAAAAATTGAAAAACTGCCTTGCCTTCCTTTTTACATAAAGGAAATGTGATGTTTTTTATTTAAAAAAACCTTTCTGCTCATAAAATACAAAATATTCATTTCCATGCCATAGAACAGTGGTTCTCAACCTGTGGGTCGGGACCCCATTTGGGGTCAAATGACCATTTCACGGGGGTCGCCAAACCACACTGTCCGCCATTTTTTTCCCTTTTCCCTAGCTGTCCTACTCCCTCTTATTGGTGGCCACACCCACTTGGGGGTCACCACAACACGGGGAACTGTATTATGGGGTCACGGCATTAGAAAGGTTGAGAACCACTGCCATAGAAGATATTAGCCAGAATCTGAGGGAGAGGCTGCATGCAGGGATGGTGTGGCCTCTCTTGAGCAAGGTCCAGCCTACCAGGGGTTCAGTATCCACTCCTGACCCTGGTCACTGGCTCCCCGCTGGGCGTGAGCTGCTGTAAGCAGGACTGGAGGAGCCCTGAGAGGGATGTTCCCTTCCTAGAGATGTGTCCACTTGTGTACAGAGTTTACCATTAGCCTAAGTTGAGGGTGGGGAGCAGAAATTCCCCTTGGCTTTGAAAGATTCTGCCCTGCAGACAAGTGGGGATGAGACTTTCATTGAGGTTTGGGACTGGGTGGATATCTTGCTAACCCAGCATGATACAGTGTCCAATGCACTTAGGGAGTTTGTGGCACCATGGAATAGTCCCAGGTCAAAGGAAGGAAGAAGAAGTTTGATTGTTCCCCTATTCTTGCTACAGTTTTCATTTTTTCTTTTCAAGGCTTTAATGGGCAAGAAAATAAGAATTGCAAGGAAGAATGCCAAATGATCCATTCAAAAGAGGGAAAAGAAAAGTTTCCAGATCTGATACAGCCAAAGAGTGATGAAACGAAGCAATCACAAAGTGGAATGAAAAAAGGCTTTCCGAGAGTCAGTTGGCTTCATAACCATACAAGCATTGATATGAGAAAAGAACTATATAAATGCATGGAGTGTGGAAAGACCTTTACATGTAGCAGTAGTCTCAATTACCATAAGAGGATCCACACTGGAGAGAAGCCATATCAATGCCTAGAATGTGGAAAGACCTTTACTTATAGGAGTAGTCTCAATTCCCATAAGAGAATCCACACTGGAGAGAAGCCATATCAGTGCCTGGAATGTGGAAAGACCTTTACTTGTAGCAGTCATCTCAATTCCCATAAGAGGATCCACACTGGAGAGAAGCCATATCAGTGCCTGAAATGTGGAAAAACCTTTTCTTGTAGTGGTACTCTCAATACCCATAAGAGGATCCACACTGGAGAGAAGCCATACCCATGCATGGAATGTGGAAAGACCTTTATTTGTAGCAGTAACCTCAGTTCCCATAAGAGGGTCCACACTGGAGAGAAGCCATATCAATGCATGGAATGTGGAAAGAGCTTTTCTTGTAGCAGTCATCTTAATACCCATAAGAGGATCCACACTGGAGAGAAGCCATATCCATGCATGGAATGTGGAAAGACCTTTACTTGTAGCGCTAACCTCAATTCCCATAAGAGGGTCCACACTGGAGAGAAGCCATATCAATGCATGGAATGTGGAAAGACCTTTACTTGTAGCAGTCGTCTCAATTCTCATAGGTGGATCCACACTGGAGAGAAGCCATATCAATGCCTGGAATGTGGAAAGACCTTCTCTTGTAATTCCTCTCTTAAAATCCATCATAGGAATCACAACGGAAAAAGACCTTATAAATGCATGGAGTGCGGAAAGACCTTTACTCAGAGCAGTAATTTTAATTCCCACAAGAGGATCCACACAGGAGAGAAGCCATATCAATGCCTAGAATGTGGAAAGACCTTTACCAATAGCGGTAATCTTAATTCTCACAAGACGGTCCATACAGGAGAGAAGCCATATCAATGCATGGAATGTGGAAAGACTTTTACTTGTAGCAGTAGTCTCAGTTCCCATAAGTGGATCCACGCTGGAGAAAAGCCATATCAATGCCTGGAATGTGGAAAGTCCTTCTCTTGTAATTACTCTCTTACAATCCATCATAGGAATCACAAAAGAAAAAGTCCTTATAAATGCATGGAGTGCGGAAAGTCCTTTACTCAGAGAAGTAATCTTAATTCCCACAAGAGGATCCACACAGGAGAGAAGCCATATCAATGCACGGAGTGTGGAAAGACCTTCACCTATAGCAGTAGTCTTAATTCTCACAAGACGGTCCACACAGGAGAGATGCCATACAAATGTGTGGAATGTGGAAAGAGTTTTAGGTGGAATTGTGATTTTATCTCCCACAAAAGAAGCCACACAGGGGAGAAGCCATATCAATGCATGGAGTGTGGGAAGAGCTTTGCCACGAGTTCCGCTCTTGTTTGCCATAGAAGGATCCATACACGGGAGAAACCATATCAATAAAAGAAGTGTGAGAAGAGCTTTGAAAGAAAAATTTAAAAACTGCACTGGTTTCCTTTTTTGTATTGAAAAGGGATTTCTTTCACAATGTTTTCTGCTGGTAAAATACAAAATACTCATTTCCATGCCACAGAAGGAACAGGAATCTGAGGCGAAGGTTGCATACAGGAATGGTACGGCCTCTCTTCTTCCCCTCAAGAATGGGCCTCTTATGGCAGCCTCTCAGTAAAATGTTCTCTGATAGCTTTTTATTTTTTTATTCTCTGTGATTTACTTTGCGTTTCATCTTCAAGAGACTAACTGTTAAGCATCGAGCAATGTTTTTTTTAATGGGCAACTTTCTGTGACTATACTCCCCCCCCCCAAACTTTATAAATGCAGAGGAGATTGTCATCAAGGAAGTGGCAGCTCTCCCTCAACAATGGAAAAACAAAAACCAAAGGAGGAGACAACGGGCGAAGAAGGGGTAAGCGAGCAGGGATTTTGAATGGACTAAGGAAAAATGGAACAAAAAACTCTTCCTTCACTCTTTTGCTAATAAGATGGATTAAATACTTCTTTTAAGCAGATGCAACTCTGATTTTTACAAACCAGCCTTCTGCTTCACTGAAACCTGGCTAAATGAGTCAATTGATGATAGCAGCTGGCATTTCCCAGGATTTCAGATACAGAGGACAGAGAGAATTACAGAAACCTCCAGTAAAAAGAAAGGAAGGGCGTCTCTGCTTCTATACCAACAACCGATAGTGTAAAAATGTAACCACACTATAGAAATTCTGTGATGTGGACTTAGAGAGATTAATTATCAATTGTAAACCATTTTATTCTCCACGAGAGTTTTCTTCATTCTATTTCCAGTGTATTGTTGGAGGAAAGGTCTTCATCGTGGTTCATCCAAGCTGGGAATAAACATGGCAACTGCTTTGGGAAGAAGGTTGTAGTTTATTGGAGAGGAGAGCCAGACAGGAAAATGGTTCTGGCAGCAAGAGAAGGGGGGGGAGGGAAGGGCTTAGCAGATGTAGGGAATAGGCTTTTATTCTTTCTGGAGCCTTTTGTTTGGAGCTGGTTTCTGCTTGGGGGAGGCAGACTTGGGGCTATTAAAAAAAACTGGGCATGCTTTTCTGTCTCTTTAAGATCCTTTGAGAAACTATATTTTTCTGCCCTTTTAATATTTCCTTCTCTGGGGAATTGACTTCCCACTGTATATTCCTCCAAAACCTGAATAAACAATACATTACAAACTCTAGCTGACATGATTATGTGGGCTGAAGCCAGATACCCAGATTCGCTCCTTACTGTGTTAGATTTCAACAGTGCTTAACTTAAGCCAAGACCTACCAAGATACCTTCAGCATGTCAATTGTCTTACTAGAGAAGATAATAATAATAATAATAATGGTAATAATAAAAAAAATCTCAGAGCGAGCTTGGTGTCCTTCTCTTCCCGGGCTTCCCAGAAATGAGTGCCTGTCCTGCCATGGTGGCCAAAAATGTTTGCCCATTTCAGGTGTGGCTCGGTATATGAATAACAACAGAATCCAGCTATTTTGCCTCGATAAGCTTTTAATGCGTTTATTCAGCTGCAGCCAAGAAGGCTTCACACACAGATCTGTAGGACACAGGTAAACCTCCAAGTGACCTCAATGATTCTCGAAAAGAATTCAAATGACCAGCTGTGTCTAAGTAATATAAATACTTCCATTGCACACCATCCAGTCAGAGCTGAAGAAGCTTCTTGGATGAGAAGCAAAAGGTCTTCAGCCATGATCTGGATGACTGAAAATCTCCACAGACTTCCAGGGTTTGGTATTCACTCCTGAGCCTAGTCACTGGTTGCTCAATGAACTAAGCTATTATTCACGCCCTGGTACTATGGAAGACCAGCTTGATGTATAATAAGAGTGCTGTTAACTATGTATTGTGATTCTTTGCCAGCCAATGGACCTGGCAGCTGAATTTGAGGAATCAGAGGAGGAAGCCTGGAGTGACATCAGAGTCAGAGGAAGGCTGTGAGGAGCTCCAAGACTTACAGTGACGAGGAGCCTGGCCCCTTTACTCGCACTCAGGCTGAGACACAGCTGTGCTGGAAGTCTGAATTGGACAGTGAGGAATCACAGCTGGGAGATATCCAGGATGCACGAAAACGCCGGCAAGAAAAGAGAGTAGGACAGAGGAATGCACCAGGGCAGCTGCAGAGGCAAAGGAGAAGGCATTAGGAAGCCAGGCCTTGGCTGAATAATGAAAGGGAAGGTGTGGGAAGTGCTGGTTGCCAAAGGCAACCATTCGTGTTGAAGATTGAGTTTCTGTGAACTGTGTTTGACTTGGACATTGACTCAGGTCTGTGAATAATAAAAGGGGATTTTTTTCCCCTGCAGTTCCAGCCTACTTGTTGGAAGAGGGGTTTCTCCTTGTGAGCCTAACAAGGACTCACGTAGGTTGGGACAGAACACCATGATCGAAATGGATGAAGGACCTCATGGCATGTATAAACTAGACCTGGATGTGACCTGAATGTTCGTTTCTTAGAAATATGCCCACTTGGGCATCATTTGGTGTCATTACAAGTTGGGGGTGAGGAGCTATTGCCATCCAGAAAGTACTTTTGGCTATCAGAGAATGCAGAGATTGGAGATGAAGACTCTTTTACTGAAGTTGAGGAGCTGGTTGGATGTCTAATGCACTTTGGCAGTTCATGGCACCATGGAATTAACCCAGGTCAAAAACTGGCTCACACACACCAAGATTAAATCAGGGTTCTGTCATAGATTCATGGTGATTCAATCCTTATATATTAGGATCAGTAGGAATCCACTTGGAAACATGTCTTTGCTAAAATCCTAGTTTGGAATCTTCATATTTGCCAACAAAACACCCAAAATATGTTGATTCTTTTGCTAAATTTCAGAAGAAAATATTTAATCATTGCCCTAGCCTTGCTATAGTTTATATTTGAGTGTGTGTGTGCATGTATGTGTGCGAGCGGGCGTGAATGCAGGGTGTGTGTGCGTCTCTCACCCCTTGCACCCTGTGCCCTCAACAGAGTCCTTCTGCGATGGCAGGCTGCAAACTAATGAAAGCTGGTTTTTTGGAGTACTTGTTTCTTTTTCTCAACATGTGGCTGATTGCATTGCCCTCTGCCCCCCTCAGCTCCCGCCCCCAGCCCCGTGGAAGGCTGCAAGAAGCTCCCATCGCAGCTTCTCTCACCCCTCCCATTCTTTTCCTTCCCGATATCAGAGTGTGGGCTGCAAGAGGTGAGACCCCTGCACACTCACAAACACATGTGCAGGTCTGGGAGAGGCAAGCTGAGAGCCATGCAGAGGCCCTTCAGGCAGAGGGGGGAGGGGTCAAAATGGGAAGCTTCCCGCCTGGAGGCTCTGACAGTTTAAAAATATGAGCTTGCTCCTTCCTTCCTCCCCTATTTCTCTTTCCTTCCTCCATGCTCAGGAAAGGATGGCGGGAGTGGGAGAGATTGCTAGCACTGCCGGTGGCCATGCTTTTGCTGGCCGTCGCTATCCAATGCAGGCAGGGGCAGTCCCAGTGAAAGGGAAACTTGCTGGCGGCAAGGCAAGGTCAGCGAGCAGGCATGGTGCTGATCTCATGGCGGGGGCCATCAAAGCCAGAACGCACTAAGCCTTAGATCCACGGGGCAGCCCTGGAGCCAATGAGGGCCTCCTCTGCCATCTCTGCCCAGCCCCCTGGGGGTACACAGAGAAGGTGGCGAGCATGTGAGTGCTGGCTTCCAGGGGAAAATGGAAGCGTTTCTTCTACCTTTTTCGTTTCTCAGTGATCAGCAGGGACGGTCAGCTGGGATACTGGGCGCTCGCCACCTTTTCATATGCCCAGGGGCATGATGGGGCACCCATTCACTGGCCCTTTCCCGCCAAAACCACCTTTTATATTATCTTCTCTTTCCCCCCTCCTCCTCCTTTTCTCTTCAAGGCACCTCCAGCTCCTGGAAGTGCTGATCAAGTGGAGCCCAGCACTAATTCTGATGCTTCTGCTGAACCCCAACAGCACTGCAGCTACAGCTGTCTCTCCCTCAGGCTTGTACAGCGCTGCTGCTGCTTCAACTCATTCCTCTCCCCCTCCGCTACCTCTTCTCTAGGACGGTCACGTACCACCTGCCAGGTGGCAAAGTACCACTGATGGTACACGTACCACTGGTTGAAAAGCCCTGCCCTATGAGACACCATTCTCCCATTCATTTCTCCACCATGGCCCCTTATTTTGAGGTAAAATTTCTAAACCTTCCATGAGTTTGAGCTTTCTCTTCATTTTGGAACTTCTTTTCTTGTGATGCCTCTTTTTTCAGGCAAGATAATTTTTTCAGGATTATTCTCATTTTTGCCGCCGCCACTTGCTGTTTTCAACCACTGTTAGCTGCCCAGAGGCATGAATTTGAAAAGGCAGCTGTAATGATTGAACTCACTAAATAAAAAAAAAAATCAGTCCAAAGATTAATTTTCCTAACCCTATACTCCCTGTTTTGTGACTCTGCCAGCCCCTTTTTCTCAACATGCCACTGATTGCATCGCGCCCTGCCCCCCTCGGCTCCCGCCCTCAGCCCCGTGGAAGGCTGCAAGACAATCCCATCGCAGCTTCTCTAGCCCCTCCCGTTCTTCTTCCCGATATCACAGAGGTGAGATCCCTGCGCACACACAAACACATGTGGGGGTCTGGGAGAGACAAGCTGAGAGCCATGCAGAGGCCCTTCAGGCAGAGGCAATGGGGGAGGGGTCAAAATGGGAAGCTTCCTGCCTGGAAAACGAACCTGCGAAGCACTCAGAAGGCAGTCCCTTTCCCAGCTTGCTCCTTCCTTCCTCTCTTCCTTCCTCCCCTGCTTCTCTTTCCTTCCTCCATGCTCAGGAAGGGATGATGGGAGTGGGAGAGATTGCCAGCACTGCTTGTGGCCATGCTTCCGCTGGTCGTCGCTATCCCATGCAGGCAGGGACAGTCCCAGTGAAAGGGAAGCCTGCTGGCTGCAAGGCGAAGTCAGCGAGCAGGCATGGTGCTGATCTCCTGGCGGGGGCCATCAAAGCCAGAATGCACTAAGCCTTAGATCCACAGGGCAGCCCTGGAGCCAGTGAGGGCCTCCTCTGCCATCTCTGCCCAGCCCCCTGGGGGTACATGGAGAAGGTGGCGAGCGTGCGAGTGCTGGCTTCCAGGGGGAAATGGAAGTGCTTCTCCTATCTTTTTCCTTTCTCAATGATCAGCAGGGACAGTCAGCTGCGATACTGGGCACTCGCCACCTTTTCATATGCCTAGTCCTTTCCCGCCAAAACCTCCTTTTATATTATCTCCTCTTCCCCCCCCCCTCCTCTTCTCTTCAGGGCACCTCCAGCTCCTGGAAGTGCTGATCAGGTGGAGTCCAGCACTGATTCTGAGGCTTCTGCTGAGCCCCAACAGCCCTGCAGCTCGAGCTGTTTCTCCCTCAGGCTTGTGCAGCACTGCTGCTGCTTCAGCTCATTCCTCTCCCCATTTGCTACCACTTCTCTAGGATGGTCACGTACCACCTGCCAGGTGGCAAACTACCACTTGGTAAGGCCACACTTGGAATACTGCATCCAGTTTTGGTCACCATGATTTAAAAAAGGGGCTGAGACTCTCGAAAGAGTACAGAGAAGAGCAACAAAGATGATTAGGGGACTGGAGGCTAAAACATATAAGGAATGGCTGCTGGAATTGGGTAAGTTTAGTTTAACGAAGAGAAGGAAAAGTGGGGACATGATAGCCATGTTCCAATATCTCAGGAGCTACCACAAAGAAGAGGGAGTCAAGCTATTCTCCAAAGTGCCTGAAGGCAGGACAAGAAGCAATGGGTGGAAACTAATCAAGGAGAGAAGCAACCTAGAACTAAGGAAAAACTTCCTGACAGAATAATTAACCAATGGAACAACCTGCCTCCAGAAGTGATGAATGCTCCAACACTGGAACTTTTTAAGAAGAGACTGGACATCCATTTGTCTGAAATGGTGTAGGGTTTCCTACCTGAGCAGGTGGTTGGACTCGATGACCTCCAAAGTCTCTTCCATCATCATCATCATCATCATCTTCTTCTTCTTCTTCTTCTTCTTCTTCTTCTTCTTCTTCTTCTTCTTCTTCTTCTTCCTCTTCTTCTTCTTCTTCTTCTTCTTATTATTATTATTATTATTATTATTATTATTATTATTATTACATACAGTAGTATACAACATTTTTGCTCTTTCAAACCCTGGTCTGTCTTTAAATCCTCTCTGTGTTTTTCTCTGTTGTTTTTCTTTATTAATGGACAGCAAGTAAAGCGCTGGCACCTTCCCAACTTTGATCTTGGCTTATGCGATGTCACGTTTTATGACCACATCACTTAGTGATGGGAGTTCTGATCCAGATTCCATTCCTTAACCAATGACATACCTGTATAAGTGGTCCTCAACTTATGATCACAATTGAACCCAGAATTTATGTGGCTAAGTAAGAAATTTGTTAAGCGAGGTTTGCCCCATTTTACGACTCTTCTTACCACATTTATTAAGTGAATCATTGGAATTGTTAAATTAGTAACATGATTGTTAAGTGAATCTGGCTTCCCCATTGACTTTGCTTGACAGAAGGTCGCAAAAGGTGACCATGCAACCATCATAAATGTAAGTCAATTGTCAAGCATCCAAATGTATATCACGTCACCATAGGGATGATGTAATCTTGACAAATGGTCATAATTCACTTTTTTCAGTGCAGTTGTAAATTTGAATGCTCACTAGACATACTGTTGTAAGTCGAGGACTGCCTGTATTGGAACTCAACATAATTCAAGCACAAGCAATAGAAGAAACTCACATATATATCAATGTATCCTGTGTGAACAGAGTTTCAGGACGACGAATTCCTCTCACAAAAGAAACCAGAATGAGAAGCCGTGAAATCCATGTTCAAATATGTTGAAGCATCTTGAAGCATTACAGCCATGGGGGCGCAGTGATTAGAATGCAGTATTGCAGGCTACTTCTGCTGACTGCCAGCAGTTTGATTCTCAGAGGCTCAAGCTTGATTCAACTTTCCATTCTTCTGAGGCCAGTAAAATGAAGATCCAAATTATTGGGGCCAATAGGCTGACTCTTTAAACTAAAGTGGAATGAAATAGAATAACATAGAATAAAAATGAATAAAGTATAATAATAATAATAATGAAAAAATCACTAAAAGCAAAATGATGTGTCTGCATAATTCCTGGAAGAAAGCTGTGTTAGCAAAAGCTGTGTTAGCAAAAGTTGTGTTAGCTGACTTAATGGATGTTTAGAAACATTTTATAAGTAAAACTGTCTTCATTGCCATCATTGTAAAACTACCATCATTGTAAAACTGAAAAATTTGCTGAAAAGAACCAGGCTTTTGGCAACAGAGATATTAATTCCTTTCTTTTTAAATTACTTGTTAACTCTATTTCCCTATTTCTTTATTTCATTAATTTAGATAAATCTCTCTGTTGTTCTTGCACTGTCACCTCCAAATCCAGACATGGGAGTTTTCAGTTCTTTTGGCTAGAAGAAAATTGGTATTTTCTTTAGTGCTGTTGCCTTATATTGTCTTCAAAATTCCTGCTCATATTTCCTGAGCTGTATTCCCTATTGAATACCGAAATGAAGCCATTTTCCTTTTTCCCCTCATGGAATTTGAACTTTATATGTACTTCTCAAGGTTTGCCTTCTTGCATTTTGTAATTCTATCTTTTCTCCAGTCACCTATGAGACACCATTCATTTCTCCATCATGGACCCTTGTTTTGAGGTAAAATTTCTAAAACTTCCATGATATGAGCTTTCTCTCCATTTTGGAACTTGTTTACTTTTGATGCCGTTTCTTCAGGATTATTCTCATTTTTGCTGCTGCCACTTGCTGTTTTGAACCTCAGCTGGCCTCCCAGAGGCAAGAATTTGAAAAGGCAGCTGCAATAATTGAACTCACCAAATAAATCAATACACATCTTAATTTTCCTACCCCTTCACTTCCTATTTTGTGACTCTGCCAGCCCCTTTATCTTCCGTCACTTCAGGACTGAGTTTGCCAACAACCACATCACACAACCTGGTCTTCAAAGAGAGGCTCCTGTTTCTTCTGAGCCTCCACAGAGATTTTGTCAATATTCACAAGATGGCAGATTGTTCTTAGACGTTAAAAAAGGAAAGTCTAGAAAATGTTGCCTGCTGCAGACAGGCAATGTTAGAGGACCCTTTCCTTCTACTCCAATGCCCATCATCCCAGGACGGCATGGAACACGGTGATCTCCCCTATTGCCTTGCAGCGTCTATCTAGCGTTGCATACAGGATCCACCAGGGGGCTCCCTGGCTGCCGTTACAAAGCCCTCATCTGCCCCCGCTTGAGAAGAGAACTGAGCATGCGCTCTTCCATCAGGTCGAGAGACATGCTCAGTGCATTTTCCAGAAGAGGCTGGTAGTGCTTCCGCCCTTCCTACAGGTGCGATTCTTTCTCCCCCCCCCCGCCTCCTTCCCACTGCGAGCCTTAGGCTAAGCCTTCCTAGGAGTCCCAAAGGCTGCAAGGGAGCTTTGCACGGACGGAGATCAAAACCTGACTCCGGAGTTCAGTAAGTGGGGGGACGTTTCTTTCACGGGCTGGACCGTGCATGGAGACAACCAAAACTTCATCAGATTCGGAGTCGTGCATGCACGGGCCAGACAGGGAAGGAATCAAAGCTCCGGACCCGCTGCGTTGCCTCCAGGAAGAACATCAGGATCGCCAGAAAGGTCGGAGCCTCAGGATTAGACTAAAAGTGGGGAACCTGTTTCCAGGAGATGCGTGAATGAAAACATCATGTTAAGCTGGTTTATTCATTCGGGTATTATTCTGTTTAAATTGAATGTTAGTTTGTTGATTGTCATTTCTCAGGTAGCCATAGCAGTTTGGGCCAGGCGTTTAATGAGGTTCTGCTGACTAAAGTTATACTGAAAGTTCAAATATTGATTGATTTACCTATTAAATCGATTTAGAAAGCCATGCGTCTCAATGGCTATTTGTGACCTGAGACATTTATGATCGGATTGTACAGAGGTTGGTTTTCATGCTCCAATCAGCCATCAAAATTATTTGAATAAATAAGTAGGAATAAGAAATCAAAAACATTTTAAATTTATGTAATCAAATTGTTTAGTCCTTCAAGAAGTTGATCTACAAGGTTACTACAGATTTTTTTCAACACAAGGATAAATCACTAACTTACAAAGATTTCACCTCTCTTCCCAGATATTGGTGGGTTGATAAGAATTTCTTCTTTCAGTTTTTGTGTGTGCTCAGTTGTTAAGTTATTCAACCTGTATTTCTGGAATTTTCTTTTCCATTTCAGATATATAAGTTGGAAATCTTTCCTGATTGCTCTTGAGTCTTAAACATCTTGTGTGGGAAGAGGGCTAAATGGACTTAGGAAATTTTGAGAGACCTCTTCTGATTAGGAAGACCTGTGCAGATCCATCAGTCTGTTTCGGAGCTGGATTAGAGAGCAGAGAGAAGATGGAGGGACAACGCCCAGCTGGAAAAAGCCCTGCAGCTGTTCAATCTTGGAGCTTTGAGATGAGTGGGGCAAGTCCTGGGCAGAAGAACCAAGAAGAGGAAGCCAACAGTTCAGAGGTCCAATGCTGTCACTTCAGAAAAGTGCAGTTCCAGGAGGGGAGGGGTCCCCGAGATATTTGCAGTCAGCTTCACCGCCTTTGCTGTCAGTGGCTGCAGCCAGAAATAAACACAAAGGCCCAGATGCTGGATCTGGTGCTCCTGGAGCAGTTCCTGGCTTTCCTTCCCCCAGAGATGGAGAAATGGGTGCGGGAGTGTGGAGCAGAGACCAGTTCCCAAGCGGTGGCCCTGGCCGAAGGCTTCTTGCTGAACGTGGATGTGGAAAAGATGCAACAAGAGTTCCAGGTGTGGGAATATAGTCTTAAGAGGTCTAAAGAGGATCTCTCTGATTTGTCAATTCCTTTCTGTCAGAGTTTTCTGGAATTATTAACTCCTAAAGTGAGTTGTTCTATTCTTCCAGAGCATGTATTTGGGGCAGTTCTTCCATTCTGTTTTGGGTTTTGGGAATGGGCATTGGGGTTGCTAGTTTGAAGGTGCGGTATGATCATTCATTTCTATCTCTGTGCTCTTCCTTTGTTTCTCCTATCACATCATCTCCAGAAATCCTTGGAAGCTACGACTGAGTATCCCAAGGGGGGGAAAGATTCATCCAAACCCTCTCAAGAGCTGCTGTTCGGGGAGAACTTCCAGAAGGGTCAAAGTCAGGACATCACGCCAGGTACCAGAAGGTCTTTCTATGTGATGTGAGATTTCAACATTTAGCTGATTCTTTAGCTGCACATCATTACAATCTCTCTTGTTAACAAATCTGCTTCCCCCATTTTTCTCTGTCTCTCAGAGAGTAGAAAGCTGTCCATGGAATTTGTAGAGTCACCTCCTCTTTGTGGCGGAGCTGAAGGATTGGCTGAACCTCTACTTCAGGTAAGGAGGAGAAACGTTAGAAAAGGTCCATGAATCTTGGATGGATTTCATTTTGTTCTAGCGTTCAATGTATAAAATTGTTTCTAAGCAATACAAATTTGACATCAGGTCATTGAACACTTGTGAGATGCTTTCTCATCCTGCTTTGACATCAGATTTCATTGAGCAGACAGTTGTGAGCATTGGGGCTGTTCCTTCTGTCTCCCAGGGTCATTCGTACATACCATTACAAAAAAATTCTTATTTTGCCTTTTGAAAAGCATCTTTGGGACAACTATGGGGATTGAGAATCTCCATAGATACTAAGTGGATTTTAGACCCAACTACCAATGACCAAGAAAACTATTTTAGTTGGCTATGCTGAAAGGCATTCCAAATACCTCCAACTAGATCCAATCTGCTTCAGTTATGTCATCAACCAAAAGTGGTGAGATCTCACTCTGAATTCTGCAGAGGATGCCCATTTTGTTCACTGGATCTCTGTCATAGAATTAATGGAAAAAAACCTCAAATTATTCTGGAATTATCTGTTAATAGGGAAACTTATTTTCTTCTTCAGCATGTTGTGTCTTTTGAGGAGGTGGCTGTGTATTTCTCCAAGGAGGAGTGGTCTCAGCTGGACCCTGCCCAAAAAGCGCTTCACGGAGAAGTCATGCTGGAGAATGCCAGGAATCTGGCTTCTCTGGGTAAGAATCCCTGTCTGTGCTCAGAAACATAGAGAAGTCATGGGGGGGGGGGTTGCTTAGATGATATTTCTGATAAAAACATCATTTATTGATACTCTGCCTTAATTTTTTGTAAATAATAAAGCTAGTGGACAAACCCAATATTTCTTCCTCCTGTTGTGACCTGGGTTGAGCTGAGGGAGACTGGCCCAAAGTCACCCAGCCAGCATTCATGCCTAAGGCAGAACTAGTACTCCCAGTCACCCAGTTTCTAGCCTGGTGCCTTAACCATTTGACCAAACTGACTTTATGGAAAAAGGAAATTTATTGGAAGAAAAATTGAAAGACTGTCTTGCCTTCCTTTTTACCTAAAGGAAATGTGGGGTTTTTTTTCATGCTTTCTGCTCATAAAATACAAAATATTTGTATCCATGCCATAGAAGATATTAGCCGGAATTTGAGGGACAGGCTGCATGCAGGGATGGTGTGGCCTCTCTTGAGCAAACGTCCAGCCTACCAGGGGTTCAGTATTCACTCCTGACCCTGGTCACTGGCTCCCCGATGGGCGTGAGCTGCTATAAGCAGGACTGGAGGAGCCCTGAGAGGGATGTTCCCTTCCTAGAGATGTGTCCACTTGTGTACAGAGTTTAACAGCCTCAGTTGAGGGTGGGGAGCAGAAATTCCCCTTGGCTTTGAAAGATTCTGCTCTGCAGACAAGTGGGGATGAGACTTTCATTGAGGTTTGGGACTGGGTGGATATCTTGCTAACCCAGCATGATACAGTGTCCAATGCACTTAGGGAGTTTGTGGCATCATGGAATAGTCCCAGGTCAAAGGAAGGAAGAAGAAGTTTGATTGTTCCCCTATTCTTGCTACAGTTTTCATTTTTTCTTTTCAAGGCTTTAATGGGCAAGAAAATAAGAATTGCAAGGAAGAATGCCAAATGATCCATTCCAAAGAGGGAAAAGAAAAGTTTCCAGATCAGATACAGCCAAAGAGGGATGAAACGAAGCAATCACAAAGTGGAATGAAAAAAGGCTTTCCGAGGGTCAGTTGGCTTCATAACCATACAAGCATTGATATGAGAAAAGAACCATATAAATGCATGGAGTGTGGAAAGACCTTTACTCGGAGCAATAATCTTAATTCCCATAAGAGGATCCACACTGGAGAGAAGCCATATCAATGCCTGGAATGTGGAAAGAACTTTACTTGTAGGAGTAGTCGCAATTCCCATAAGAGAATCCACACTGGAGAGAAGCCATATCTATGCATGGAATGTGGAAAGACCTTTACTTGTATCACTAATCTCAATTCCCATAAGAGGATCCACACTGGAGAAAAGCCATATCAGTGCCTGGAATGTGGAAAGACCTTTACTTGTAGGAGTAGTCTCAATTCCCATAAGAGAATCCACACTGGAGAAAAGCCATATCAATGCATGGAATGTGGAAAGACCTTTACTTCTAGTAGTACTCTCAATACCCATAAGAGGATCCACACTGGAGAGAAGCCATATCCATGCATGGAATGTGGAAAGACCTTTACTTGTATCACTAACCTCAATTCCCATAAGAGGGTCCACACTGGAGAGAAGCCATATCAATGTATGGAATGTGGAAAGACCTTTACTGGTTGCAGTAGTCTCAATTCCCATAAGAGGATCCACAGTGGAGAGCGGCCATATCAATGCCTGGAATGTGGAAAGACCTTTACTTGTAGCAGTAGTCTCAATTCCCATAAGTGGATCCACACTGGAGAGAAGCCATATCAGTGCCTGAAATGTGGAAAGACTTTTACTTGTAGCAATACTTTCAGTTCCCATAAGAGGGTCCACACTGGAGAGAAGCCATATCAATGCATGGAATGTGGAAAGACCTTTACTAATAGCAGTAATCTCAATACCCATAAGAGGGTCCACACTGGAGAGAAGCCATATCAATGCATGGAGTGTGGAAAGACCTTTACTTGTAGCAGTAGTCTCTATTACCATAAGAGGATCCACACTGGAGAGAAGCCATATCAATGCCTGGAATGTGGAAAGACCTTTACTAGTAGCAGTAGTCTCAATTCCCATAAGAGGATTCATAGTGGAGAGAGGCCATATCAATGCCTGGAATGTGGAAAGACCTTTACTAGTAGCAGTCGTCTCAGTTCCCATAAGTGGATCCACGCTGGCTAGAAGCCCTATCATTGCCTAGAATGTGGAAAGTCCTTATCTTATGATTACTGTCTTACAATCCATCATAGGAATCACAACGGAAAAAGACCTTATAAATGCATGGAGTTTGGAAAGAGCTTTACTCCTACTGATCATCTTAATTCCCATAAGATGATCCACACAGGAGAGAAGCCATATCATTGTATGGAGTGTGGAAAGACCTTTACTTATAGCAGTAGTCTTAATTCCCACAAGACGGTCCACATAGGAGAGATGCCATATAAATGTGTGGAATGTGGAAAGGGTTTTAGGTGGAACTGTGCTCTTATCTCCCACAAAAGAATCCACACAGGGGAGAAGCCATATCAATGCATAGAGTAAGAAATTTGTTAAGCGAGGTTTGCTCCATTTTATGACTCTTACCACATTTATTGAGTGAATCATTGGAACTGTTAAATTAATAACATGGTTGTTAAGTGAATCTGGCTTCCCCATTGACTTTGCTTGACAGAAGGTCGCAAAAGGTGATCACATGACCCTGGGACCCTGCAACCGTCATAAATGTTTAGTCAATTCTCAAGCATCCGAATGTATATCATGTCACCATAGGGATGTCGTAAGCTTGACAAATGGTCATAATTCACTTTTTTCAGTGTGGTTTTAAATTTGAGTGCTCACTAGACGTACTGTTGTAAGTCGAGGACTGCCTGTATTGGAATTCAACATAATTCAAGCACAAGCAATAGAAGAAAGTCACATATATATCAATGTATCCTGTGTGAACAGAGTTTCAGGACGATGAATTCCTCTCACAAAAGAAACCAGAATGAGAAGCTGTGAAATCCATGTTCAAATATGTTGAAACATCTTGAGGTATTACAGCCATGGTGGCGCAGTGGTTAGAATGCAGTATTGCAGGCTACCTCTGCTGACAGCCAGCAGTTTGATTCTCACAGGCTCAAGGTTGATTCAATTTTCCATTCGTCTTGAGGCCAGTAAAATGAGGACCCAAATTGTGGGGGGCAATAGGCTGACTCTTTAAACCTGTGGGTCGGGACCCCATTTGGGGTCGAACGACCATTTCACGGGGGTCGCCAAACAACGCCGTCCGCCATTTTTTCCCACTTTTCCTTAGCTGTGCTACTCCCTTTTATTCTATTGGCTTTGGAAAGCCAGTAGAAGAGACTCTCTTGAATAGAGTCTAATTCTATTGGCTTTCAAAAGCCAATAGGAATTGTCCAGGCTGTCTCTGCCCTGCTGACCCCGCCAAAACTCCCATTCTGCAAACGGTGCTGCACCAGTTGAGTAGTCCTCGACTTATGACCGGTTGAGTAGTCCTCGACTTACGACCGGTTGGGGGTCGCGGCATTAAAAAGGTTGAGAACCACTGCTTTAAAGCATTTAGAGTACAGTAAAGTAGTATGAAGCGGTATGTAAATTTAAATGCTTTTGTGATTTTGCCTTTCTATGATAGGATAAGAATAAGGAAATGTCTAAATTCAATTTAAATAAATTGGATTTATTTAAAGTTAATTGGATTCTAATTACATTTGAATAAAATTAATTTTGGATTTAAATAAAATTAAATATTACTGGTATGGTTATTCATAAGACTTTTTAAAATTCAAGCGTATTAAAAACTGAGAAAAATTTACTAAAAAGGACCAAACTATTGGGAAGAGATGCTAATTGCATTCTTTTTAAATAGCTTCTTAACTCTATTTCCCCATTTCTTTATTTCATTAATTTAGATAAATCTCTTTGTTCTTGCACTGTCACCTCCAAATCCAGACTAATCTCTTCAAACCATGGGAGTTTTCAGCTCTTGGCTAGAATAAAAATTTGTATTTTCTTTAGTGCAGTTGCCTTACTTTGTCTTCAAAATTCCTGCTCATATTTCCTGGGCTGAATTCCCTATTGAATACCAAAATGAAACCATTTTCCTTTTCCCCCTCATGGAATTTGAGCTTTATATGTACTCCTCAAGGTTTGCCTTCTGGCATTTTGTATTTCTACCTTTTCTCCACTCACCTATGAGACACCATTCATTTCTCCATTGTGGACCCTTGTTTTGAGGTAAAATTTCTAAAACTTCCATGATTTGAGCTGACTCTCCATTTTGGAACTTGTTTACTTTTGATGCTGTTTCTTTAGGATTATTCTTATTTTTGCTGCTGCCACTTGCTGTTTTGAACCACAGTTGGCTGCCCAGAGGCCAGAATTTGAAAAGGCAGCTGTAATAATTGAACTCACTAAATTAAAAAACATCAATATACATCTTAATTTTCCTACCCCTTCACTTCCTATTTTGTGACTCTGCCAACTCCTTTATCTTCCCTCACTTCAGGACTGAGTTTGCCAACAACCACATCACACAACCTGGGCTTCATAGAGAGCCTCCTGTTTCTTCTGAGCCTCCTCAGAGATTTTGTCAATATTCACAAGATGGCAGATTGTTCTTAGACGTTAAAAAAGGAAAGTCTAGAAACTGTTGCCTGCTGGAGACAGACAATATTAGAGGGACCCTTTCCTTCTACTCCAGTGCCCATCATCCCAGGCCCACATGGAACATGGTGATCTCCCCTATTGCCTTGCAGCGTCGATCTAGCGTTGCATACATGATCACCAGGGGGCTCCCTGGGTTGCCGTTACAAAGCCCTCCCCCTTCAGGAGACAACTGAGCATGCGCTCTTCCATCAGGTCAAGAGACATGCACGATGTCTTTCTCAGTGATCAGCAAGGATGGTCAGCAGTGATACTGGGCACCCGCCACCTCTTTATGTGCCCAGGGGTTTGATGGGGCACCCGCTCACTTGCCCTTTCCCGCCAAAACCACCTTTTATATTATCTCCTCTTTCCCCCCCCCTCCTCCTTTTCTCTTCAGGGCACCTCCAGCTCTTGGAAGTGCTGATCAGGTGGAGCCCGGCACTGATCTTGCGGCTTCTGCTGAGCCCCGACAGCCCTGCAGCTCTGGCTGTCTCTCCCTCAGGCTTGTGCAGCACTGCTGCTGCTTCAGCTCATTCCTCTCCCCCTCCGCTACTTCTTTAGGACAGTCACGTACCACCTGCCAGGTGGCAAAATATCACTGGTGGTACACGTACCACCGGTTGAAAAGCCCTGTCCTTTGAGACACCATTCTCCCATTCATTTCTCCATCATGGCCCCTTGTTCTGAGGTAAAATTTCTAAACCTTCCATGAGTTTGAGCTTTCTCTCCATTTTGAAACTTCTTTTCTTTTGATGCCACTTTTTTCAGGCAAGATAATTTCTTCAGGATTATTCTCATTTTTGCTGCCGCCACTTGCTGTTTTCAACCACTGTTAGCTGCCCAGAGGCATGAATTTTGAAAAGGCAGCTGTAATGATTGAACTCACTAAATAAAAAAAAAATCAGTACAAATGTTAATTCTCCTAACCCTACACTCCCTGTTTTGTGACTCTGCCAGCCCTTTTATTTTTCCTGACTTCAGAGCTGTGTTTGCCAACAACTACATGACACAGCCTGGGCTTCAAAGAGAGGCTCCTGTTTCTTTTGAACCTCCACAGAGATTTTTTCAATATTCACAAGATCGCAGATCGTTCTTGTACGCTAAAAAAAAAGGAAAGTGTAGAAATTGCTGCCTGCTGGAGAAAGACAATGTGAGGGACTCTCCTTCATCTCACCATCCCAGGCCCACATGGAACATGATCATATGCTCTACACCCTTACAGTGTCCATCTAGCATTGCATGCAGATCCATCAGGGGACTTCTGGGGTAGCTGTTTCAAAGGCAGGGCAGCATTCACCCCCCCCCCCGCTTAAGGAGGGAACTGAAAGCTTTCCCCAGGTCAAGATAAGCGTATAGCATTTTGCAGAAAAGGCTGAAAATGTGTCCATCCTTCCTACAGAGTCGAATTCTGGTCTCCCTTATCCGCCCCCCTCGCTGCAAACCTTAGGGTGAGTGTTATGTCCCGAGCCTTTGCAAACGGCTCGGGCGTTTGCAGGCAGTCCCGGGCAGGTGCAAAGCTGCCCGGGACCAGACAGGCTGTCGCCAGCGCCGTGCGCATGCGCGGGTGCTGGCGCGGGAAAAGTAACCCTTTTACCCGGGAGTTGCCTATATAAGAGGCTGCGAGGCGTTTGGGCGAGGCTGAAGCCATCTTCCTGTAAGCTGAACGCTGAATAAAAGAAACTGAGAACTCCAGCTGCTTCTCGTGTCTGCTTTCCCGCCAGGACGCAACACTGGCGACGAAGGTGGGATGCCTTGCACTACCTGGAAAGGAAGAAGTGTAAGCTTACCCAAGGAGTCCTGAGCGGCGGAAGAGGAACGGCGTCGACTCGGCAGCTGCCCGCCAATCCGGTGCGCATTCGGGGGTAGGCTGGCTGATAGACCCGTCTCCTGAAGATCCGAAGATGGCGAAAATCGGAAGGCTTTCGGAATTCGACGTCTCACATCCAGAGCGGTGGGAGTCCTACGTATCCAGAATGGAGAACTACTTCAAGGCAAACCAAGTGAGGGAAGATAGCTTGAAGGCCGCCACCCTGCTTTGCGTTTGCGGCCAAGACGCCTTCGAAATCGCAGAAAACCTTGCAGCACCTGTTCCAGTAGAGTCTGTAAGCTACGCAGACCTGAAGAAGCTGCTGAAAGAGCACTTCCACCCCAAGGTGTCCGTTATCTCATGGCGCCACACCTTCGAGCAGAGGGATCAACGGTCCGGTGAAACAGCCAAGGAATACATCGCCGCGCTACGGAAGGCCGCCAAGCCCTGCGAGTTCAAGGACCTCGAGGAACGACTGAGGGACCGATTCGTGTGCGGGTTAAGGCATCGCGAGCTACAACAGAGACTTTTCGCAAAGGAAGAATTATCCTTCCAAGACGCCTTAAGGGAAGTCACCGCAGAAGAAGCAGCAGGCGGCGCCATCAAAAACATGCGGCCGATCAGAAACAGTGCAGAGGGTGCGTCCGTGCACCAGGAAGACGTCCGACGAAACTCCGAGGAGGATCCGGACGAGGAAGTCGACCGTCTACACCCCGCGAAGGAAGAGAACCAGAAGGGAAGCTCTTCGGCTCCGCTCAAGTGCATCGGCTGTGGAGGTCGCCACAGAAGAACCGACTGCAAGTTCCGCTCCGCTACCTGCCGGGCATGCGGCAAACAAGGGCACATTGCAGCTGTGTGTCTGAGCCGACGAAAGGCACAACCCCAAGAAGAACGCCTGAAAGGTACCAGATTCCCCAGCCAGAATAGGGTAGGTTTTTGCGCTTCGCGAAGAAGCATCTGTAGAACAGGCACACACAAGCCCATGAAGAAAAAGCTGTCACTCAACGTGAAGCTACAAGGGGTTCCATTATCTATGGAACTAGACACAGGGTCTGCCCTGTCCATCATTTCATTGCATACATTTAGGAAGATTTGTTCCAGTAGTGGGTCTAAGGCCAAGTTAAGGCCTTCTGATATTGTATTAACAGATTTTCAGAACTCAAGAGTGTGTGTTAAGGGGGAGGCCACCCTTAACGTGCAATACAAGAGTTTTGAAGGTCCACTAGACTTATTAGTAGTAGGGGGTGAACGAACGAGTCTCATAGGACTCGATTGGTTGAGGCCCTGGGGATACACGTCACAGGACTCAACAGCTTACAAACACTCGACCTACAGGAAGTCTGCAAAGAATTTGCAGATGTTTTCAGCCCCCAGCTGGGCACATTCAAAGGACCCCCTGTGTCCTTAAAGCTAGACCCCACTGTCACTCCCATTAGAATTAAAGCAAGAAGGGTCCCTTTTGCTTTAAAAAGTAAGATTGACACTGACTAGACAAACTAATCCAACAGGGAATCCTAGAACCTGTTGATTCCAGCCCGTGGGAGACCCCCATTGTCACGCCTCTAAAGGCAAATGGGGACATTCGCATTTGTGCTGACTACACATGCATTCTTAATAAGGCATTGTCAGCAACATGCTATCCGGTTCCTGTGGTTCAGTCACATCCTGGCCTCTCTCAAGGGGGCGTGTTTTTGCAAAGCTTGACC